TTCCCGCCCCCCGCTCCCCCCCCCATGCCCTGAGTGGTTGGCAGTCCCTAAGCTCACCGCCAGGGGGCGGGCGGCCCACAGGCTCTGGTGGGAACTGCCTGGTGGGGCCAGAGCGAGGGACAGTGGGACAGTATCCTGCGGAGACACAGGCTCATCCCTAAGCAGAAGGAGTGCTCAGGAGCGCCCGTCACGGTCACCTTCTGTGTCCTGCGGACCCTTTACTTCCTACACACTCAGATGTTCATGGTTCTCTGGGCAAACCCTTCCCCATGGATCCACGAAGGGAAGGATGCGTAGGGCGTGTGGGTGTGTCGCACGTGGCCGCGGTGCAGGCTCGCCTCAGCCCCGCAGCTGGCCCTCCACACTCAGGCGTGCTGCGCTGCCTTGCGCTCCTGGTCTCCGTAAGCAGCCTTCTGACCTTGGGTGCTCGGAGGGTGACACGCGCAGAGATGGATGGGGCGCTGCCACCCACCCTGCATCTGATCCCTTCACGCAGCAGACCCCGCGCGGGCACGACGCCGTCCCCCGGACTGCATGCCCGCTCACCTCTCCGCGCTTCCACGTGCACCCTGTCCCTGCTCAGGGTTCTGCGTGCCGTCTATTCAGACGTCGCGTCAGCGGTGTGCCCGCATGGGGGCCGGCACTCCCCCACCCCCCGGCCTGCGGGTTCCACTGTCCTGCAGCGCGTCCGCAGTGGGGGCCGGCCGGTAACAGCTCGGAAGTTCACTCTTCAAGTGGCAATCCAGTATTTTTAGTACAGCCTCAGGGTCGTGCAACCAGCTCCTCTGTCTAGTCCCAGAACATTCCTTCACCACGGAAGGAAACCTCATCCCATCGTCAGTCCCCCCCACCCCACTCCCCAGCCCCTGACACCCACTCACCCACTTTCTGTCTGTGGACGTGCCTGTTCTGGACATGTCACATAAGTGGAATCACAGCGTGGCCTGCGTGTCGGCGTCTCTCACTGAGAGTCGTGTGTTCAGGGTCCGTCCACGTCGTGGTGTCAGCGCCTCCTCCCTTTTCATGGCTGAGTGACACTCCTCTGTGCAGGTGGACACATGTCTATTTGTCATTGGCTGATGGACATTTGGGCTGTTTCTATTCTTTTGCAGTTAGCACTGCTGTGAAATTTCTACACAATTCTGTGGGTGCCTTGTTTCTTTCAGGGGTGCACCTGAGTGGCGTTGCCGTGTGACTGTCTTAGCTCTCGCCCAGCTGTTTCAGTCTGCACCCCGTGCTGTCCTGCGCATGTTCTGCGCCCTCTCCCTGGTTCCAGCCCCTGAAGCTCCTGGCGGGGTAGCTGCAGGGGGGCACCTCGCACCCTCTCATCCCTGCCCTGCCCCTGCCCTCCGCCTCCAGGCCTTGTGCCAGGCTCCCTGTGCCCTACACTGGGTCCTGGCCTCTGGGTACAGTCGGGGTGCAGCAGGCTCACTCGCACGTTTGTAGCTGGTCGAGGCCAGCTTATCACTTGCTGTTCCAAGTGCCCTCATCCCGGGTCATAACCAAACTCGCTCTCTGGGACGCTGGCAGCTGCCAGCTCACTCCTGGTGGTTCTGGAAGGCTGGGGCCACAGAGCAGGCTCCCTGTTCCACATCCCTGCCCGGGCACACTCACCCTCCCCAGAGACCTTGGCCTGGAGCCCCTACCCGGCTGACGCTTGTTCTAGGGCTCCAGATTCAGAGGGAGATCATTCGTCCCCAAAGCGACGGTCCCCAGCCAAACCAGCGCCTCCTCCTTTCCCAGGAGCCCAAGGGCATTACGCCCTCCCCATGAGACGGCGTCCAGCTGCCCTGCGTGGCCCAGCGCAGCCGCCTGTCCTTCCCGCCCTCCGCTGCCTGGCTTTGCTCGCACCCCTCAGTGTGAAGGCACGTGCGAGACTGTCCGTTTGTTTCTCGGTGGAGACGGCACCGTGGGAGGGCACGCGCGGGCACTGTGGGAGGGTTCGTAGCGGTCACGTCTCCCCTGGGAGGGGCAGCGGGAGAGGCGGTTTCTTGTATGTTATTTGAAGTTTCCTGATTCCTGAATCATGTGATTTTATTACTTGATAAGAAAAAATGTTCTCAAAAAACACCATGTGTCCTGCTGCCCCACCCTGAGAGGCAGGCGTGGAGCACGAGACGGATGTCATCCCTCGCGTGGGCCAGTGACGTGCGGGTGTCATAGGACCTTGCTGTGCCGACAGAGCCTCGGCTTCCCCTCCTCTCGCTCATCTCTGCTGTCCCCTCAGCCCTCCGTCGTGTGGCAGCTGTTCCCAGCCCATGGGCGCCAGGGCGTGCAGCTCTGGTATCCCAGACAGCGGCCGCGTTCTTGGGGTGGGAGGGCGGGGTGGAGTCAGAGGGGCGAACACCTGATGTGACCCGTTGTGACCCGTTGCCTTCGTGAAGGGCACACACTGTTACTAAGGGGTGTCCTCGTCGCCGTCCCCTCACGCATGTGACATTCGGGCAGGGCAGTAGGGGTGATAGCTCGTTCTCACTTGCACGTCTTCATTGGGGGGTTCGCACATCGTGTCGTGAGTTCGTGGTCACCTCGGTCGTCCTTGTACGCATTGCCCATCTCTCTGCAGGTCGTTTATCTTCTTCGTGTTGGTTTTTGGGAGCTGTTTGCGCGTGCGGGACAGTGGCCCGTTGTCTGGTGGTCGTGCGGGCACCCATGCTCTCCCTTGCCCCTTGCAGTGGTTGGCTGGCAGCGATTGGATTCTTCCAGACCAGTGTCGGGGCTGCCGTGGTCATGCTGCTTCCGGCCATCATGTTCACCATGTCGGCCGCCATGATGGCCATCGTGATCATGAAGGTAAGTCTTCTGGGCCCTGAAACGTCCAGCTTCTTCCCACACCTCCTGTCACTTGACCCTTCCGGCCCCGGGGACTCGTGTCATCCCCATTTCAGGAACAACAGACTAGGTGTCCGGGAAGTGACGTGACTGACCTCTGGGGGCAGGGCAGACCCCTTGTGGTCTAGGCCCTCAACCTGTCGGTCCCGCCCATGCTGGCCTTCCGAGGAGGAAGGACTTCGGTAACGGCAGAGTGTGGGCCGGTGGTGACCATGCCTGCCTTTGGGGTCTCATCTGCTGGAGCCCAGCACATACACATCCCAAAGTGTCCACATTGCTCTGCTTGGCCACCTCCAGCCACATGTTGCCATTCGCCTTTAAATTCAAATTGAGTAAAATTAAATGAAGCTAAGGATTCGGTGCATCCATCGCCCCCCTCGTGGGTGGCTTCGTGTCGACCGTCTGGGCTGTCGCAGAGCACTCCCCCACAAAGCATGCTCCTGCGTGTGGGGCCTTCCCGTGGGAGACGTCTGCGCCTTTCCTGGGGGCGCTGACCCCACGAGGGTCATCCCAGACCACATGGAGGCCCCGGGAATGAGGAGGTGGCCGGCTCAGCTCTGTGTGGGGGGCCGGCGCACGGGGCTATCGGAGCTGGGTTGCCCGCCTCTTCGCCACGCGGCCTCAGCCGAGGCAGCCATGTCGAGGCCGGGTTCAGAGACTGCGCCAGGCTGTTGGCGAGGACATAGGGGTGCTCAGCTCCCCGTGTCCGCACCTCAGCGTCCTCCTAGCTGTGTGGACAGTCTAAGGGGAAGGGCCAGCAGAAGCTATGGAGGTGCTTGGAGCACCACAGGGGAAGGCCGGCAAGACCCCAGGGCAGGCCCCCCCAGGCCGTGGGAGAGAGGGGTTTACAGGCTTAAAGCGGAGAGAGTTCCAGCAAAGCAGGTTCAGACGACTCTCTCTGTTGGGGTCCTCAGGGCCACCCAGGTTTGGGGATTCGCTGGGAAGATACAAGAAAGACAGTCCATGTTGGTGGAAAAAGACAAAATCATTCAATTTCACTGATGATCAAACGCTTCGAGTTAAAAGGGGCTGTTTTCTTGGTTATTGAATTTGCCAGGATTTCTAGAAATAGCACAGCCTGGTGTCTCAGAGTCACAGCCCTCCTGGATGACATGGAGTCGCTGGTTCGTGCAGGGGTCTCTGTCAAGGTCATCGCTTATGTGCGACGTGTGAGGTCCAGGGCCTGGCGCTCCCGTGTCCGGAGGCTGTGGGAGTGATTGTCACACGAGTTTCCTGCGGCTTCTCCACGGCGGGCGCTGCCCAAGGGTGCCCAGGGCCGCCCACCAGGCAGCAAGAGGGGCGGAGGGGCCGTCCACGGGGAGACAGGCCCCAGACCTGCCCCTTTCCAGGACAGGGCCGTGGAGGTGGGCACCAGGGACCACTGGGCCTGTGGCCCAGGGCGGGGCCTTCCGCGACCGCGGTCTCCGCTTCTGTGCGCTTCCTGACGCTTCCACAAAGACCGCTCTGTGGCCTTTGTCGTTCCTTTAAGGAATGCACCATCTGGACACGAGCCGCCTCTCTGTCCCCTGCAGTCACACTGGCCTCTGTCCTCTGCTCCCACAGGTACACAGGATCTACCGGGGAAACGGCGGAAGCTTCCAGAAGGCGCAGACCGAGTGGAGCACGGGCACTTGGCGGAACCCGCCCTCTCGGGAGGCCCAGTTCAACAACTTCTCCGGGAACAGCCTGCCCGAGTACCCAGCTGTGCCCAGCTACCCAGCCAGCGGTAGCCAGTGGCCTTAGTGGGGGCTGCCACCCACCTGTCACTGCCGGCCCATCTCTCCCAACCCTCTTGTAGCCCTTTTGGGTCCCAAGAGGCCCCAAGTGGCCGTCCCCTGTCCCTCCCAGGTGGCGGGCAGGCCCCTCCCCCAACTAGGACATCAGCCACTGTTGGTGGCCACCAGGAGCTCCGTCAGCTGGGACCACAGACCCCAGCAGCTCTCGGGGACCCATGCTCATGCTCATCTCACATCCAAGAGCGGAGCTCCTGGCAATCACTGCCCAGGAGCCAGCCAGCCCCTGCTGTCCCCCAGAAAGATGTCCCTCCTACTCCTGCAAAGGTTTGGTCACCATGACATCCGCTGCGGCAGTCACTTCCTTCTCCTCAGGGTCTTGGGGGCTGACCCCTGCCTCCCCAGGAAGTCAGGGAGGCTGATGGCACTGAGGAGGGCTCCTGGTGTCCACCCCACTGCCCCCAACCAAGTTGTCACCCTTGCCCAGTGCCCAGGAAGATGGGGCCTTGGCACCAAGTTCCTGTCCCCCTCTGGAGACACAGGAACCTGACGCACGGCCAGGTCCTCCTTATTTTTGTCCACTTGCAGCCAGAGGCTCTCGGACGAGCCCATGGGGACAGCCAGAGGCCAGTTCACTGCCTCAGCGCCATCATCTTAGCTTCTCCCTGTCCGTCTGTCTCAGGCGCTCCGCACAGGGCCATTGGCCGCCACCCTTTCAGCCTGCAGTCGCCCTCCCTGAGACGCTCTCTTCCCCAGAATGGGGTTAAAACTGTCCCCTCACTGTCCAAACAGGAAATCATGTGCGTCTTGACAGACGGCTCATGGCCCTGAGGCCCAGGCGCCGGGCTGGCCGCTCAGACTGTGACCCGCACGGCCCTTCTCTGGACGTGCAGGAGGCCGTGTTTCTCAGAGGAAGTGAGACGTGACAGGTCTCTGTGCCTTATGGAGGAAGCCGGACACTGTCGCCGCGCTCCCCGCTGCTTCTAGCGCTCACGGAGACGAAGGGACTGGCGTCGTGTGGGCGACTCCGCAGCACCTTTGTGCACGGATGGCCAAGGGAGGCGTCCCAGTGGCCTCTGGGCTCCTGGCTGCCCACCCTGTTGCACCGTGCCCCGCCAGGCTGCCAGCCTCCCCACAAGCCCCGGGGTGGCCCGAGCGTGTTCTCACACCGTGCTTGCTTGCTTTGGTTGCTTGTGCTGAATGCAGCTTGGTGTCCAAAGGTGGCCTCAGTCACTGAGGAAGCACCCGGACCTGGGTCCCCGAAGGATGAGGCTCCCCTGGATGGCAAATGGAAGCCTGGGGTCTCGTAATGTCCCCAAACCAGCCTCCCGCAACCGACCAGAGGCCTGCGCGGCACTAACCATGGGCCAAATTTCGTCATGACTGTGACGCCAGTGGTGACAGCTGGTTAACCAGGTGCAGGACGCACAGCTGGACTTGCCCATAGCACACCCTTGGCCCGCTGTACTTGGCACCTTTGTAACGTTGTCGTAGTTTTTGTTAAGTGAAAATATTCTGGAAATAAATACATTTTTTCTGCAGCAGACCAAGCCTTCCAGGGGCTGTTCGTGGCATGCGCGTGTGACATACAGATGCATGTGGTGCGTTTGTGACACATGTACGGTACGTGTGGGGTGCGTGGTGTGTGTGCATCTGTGTGGCATGTGCATGTGTGGTGTGTGCATACTGTGGTATGGTGTGAGTGTGGTGTGTGTACATCTGTGCGGCGTGTGCGTACTGTGTGGTGAGACAGGGTCCCCCAAAAGGACCAGAGGGACTGAACTGGGACTGCCCACGGCTGTGACCTGCTTGTTCACGCCTCCCTGACAGTTCCTGCCCAGTGCCTCCCAGGTAAACTTCTTGTCTTCAGTGTCTGTCTTGCAGCCAAATCGCTGTGTTGTCAGGGAGTGAAAGCCACAGCCAGGGGAGGGTCCAGCTGTCACCCTCTGCGAAGCCAGACATTAAAATCTGCAGAAGGAAAACAATACTGCTCGTTTGTATTTTTTTTAAACATGGGGTATTTTTTTAAATGTTAAAATGAATTTACTTTTAAAGGACAGCAATAACAAATGTCTTTACATTTTCTGTCTTCAATCCTAATGTAATAAATACTGGTATGTACCTGGGAGAGGCAGGGAGGGCCCTTCCACAGAGTTTTCACCTTGTGGTACCTGTATCTGAGACAGACCAATTTTTCCAACTCAGTTGCTACTCGGCTTCTGCTCAGAACAGTTTTGCCAGGTCAAACCTCGCAGCCTAAGCGGGGGGCCTCACCTGGAGCGATCCTGCCTCCAGGAGAGCCTGGGCTATGTCTGGGCGTCTGCGGTTGTCACGTGGGTGCTCCCGGCATCAGTGGGTGAGGCCGGGGATGCTGCTCAGTCCCTGCAGTGCCCAGGACGCCCCCACAGAGAGTGACCTACCCGGATGTCCGCAGCATGGGATCACGGGTGGATGGTGGCGGAGAGACCTGAGCTAAAGGAAGCCTTGCCAGAAGCCAGTAGCAGGACCTCTTTATCTGCCGCCTACTGTCACTTATGACCCATCCCTCACTGCCTCTCCCACGGGTCACTAACCTCCATGGCTCACAGTATCCAGAGAGAGAGAACTGTGACTTGTCCCAACCAGTGAGGATATGGCATCGGGCCCCACCTTGTGTTGAACGCTGTAATTCTGCAGCCACGAGGGCCGGGCGGGGGCTGGTGCTACCTACCCGTAGATGGCGGCAGTGTTGGAGGTTCAAAGCCAGGGGATGGCAGGAAGCCCCTTCGCCACTCTAAACCTGTTGCCACACGGGAGTGTGCACGTCTACGTGAGTCCCTGCCCCATGGGGGAAGCCCTCGCCATGGGGAGCACTGATTCCATCCCATGCGACAGAACTGGAGCACCTGCTCATGCCTCAGCTGGCACTGGACACCAGGAAGCAGCCCCGAGACTGTCCTGGGGTCTCTCCAAGGAGGAGCAGACAGAAGGACCTGCCTCTTGCAGGAGTAAAGAAACAGAAGAGAGGAGCGGCACTTCCCGCCATCCACCCCGGCCCCCGCCCCCGCCCCAGAATCCACAGCCCTTTGCAGTTTATTGGGAGGCCACGATATTGACTCTCTGGGGAGTGGCGAGGAGACCAGCTCAACCTCTTCACAACGTTCTTACTATTTTATCAAGAGCCCCGAAGGGGCTGTTTCCCACCCCAGCTTTCCCAAAGGATGTCCCCATGATCAAAACCCAAAGGACGTGGGAATGTGGGGACCACATTGGAAGCGGGTTAAAAATGAGAAAGCTGGAAATGCGATGTGCTTTTTCAAAGATGCCTAGTGATTAGAAATACGTTCTTTTGAGGCAGAAGGTCCTGTGCTGGCCACTCATTCATTAATTCATGGATTCCCCATGATACACCTGAGGGGGCTATGGTTAGTCCTAAGGTCCAGACAGAGATGCAGAGGACCAGAGGCGGCCAGTGACCTAGCCATAGCTACACAGCCCCTGCCTTGGCCTCACTGTGTGTGTTCTTTCTGCTGCACAAACCACCCTGCCTTTTACTGGACAAGGCTGGAGCTCAGGGTCAAGGCTCAAATACATTTGGAGGCAAGGCCACCGTGCCCCCCACCCCTCTGGGAGTTGTGTGCAAGAAAGTAGATTTTTCCTGAATGTGAACAATGGGAGAAGAAAGATGAGGCTGGAAAGTCTGAGGAAATAAAACCCCAGGTTCTCCAGATTCTGGGAGGACCATGGAGTTCATTCATTTGTTCATTCATCCATTCATTCGTGCACCACACACGGACTGAGTGCCTAGTGTATGTACAGGCACAGCAGTGAGCAAAGCAGACACCATCCCTGGCCTGGTATGGCTGGCAGGGGAGGCTGACCTTTAACACACACACTACTTTACAGTAAGGCTCAGCTCGGAGGGGTCGGGATGCAATAAGAAAGGACAACAGGTTTGGGCTTAGGCTTCCTGGAGGCGGAGACATTGCGAGTGGGACTGAAGAAGGATTGGGGCAGAACAAGCCCTAAAATCAGCCTCTGCAAGGGCCTGGCTTGGCCCCAAACCGCTGCCATTCCACTGTCCTGTTCGTTTACTTCTCCTCCCCCACTTTTCCTTTGCACCCCATCTTGCTGCGGGTCAACACGACAGTAATCAGAGACCACAGAATGTTCCTTCCATCTGGTCCCATCTAGCTTTAGGATTTTAGGGTGAGGCTCTTGGTCACTGCCCCATGCCATCTCTGAACTCATCGTGTCCATTTATTTGCTGTCCTGTCCCCTCTTCCCCTTAGGGCTGAGGATTCCCTGGGAAGCGACGCCAAGAATCCAGCTCACCATTCTATTCTGAGAGCCACTGGCTGCATTTAATAAATACTTGAATGGATGAGTCTCCTCCAACGTTAAAATACCCACAGGAGGCACGCAGGGCATGCGGGAGAGCAGGCACCGGTCCTCCAGGCCCTGACCTCGGTGGGGCAGGGCCTCACTGCGGGGCTTGCCCCGGTCAACCCTTCCTGAGGCCTCCGCTAGGTCCGGGCGGCAGGCATTACCGAGTGCTAGCTTCGTGCACGGCCTGTGATCCGCAGGGTGGCCGAGCAGCACCCGGACCAGTTGCCTCGGGTGACTTAGGGCGGACGAGGCCCGCGCTGACTACTCATTTGCTCCTCGCTGACGTCACCACTTATTAGGACACTGCGACCACAGTGCCTGCTGGTGACCCCAGAATTCTTTCTCCTCCCGGCCCCACCCAGCCCGTCCCACCACCCGGCCCGAAGTCGACCTGTCCGCGCGCTGACCACGCCCCGCGGCCCCGCCCGGCCGTGACGTCAGGTGGCGAGACCATGAC